ATATCATCGTGTACGGGGCAGTGTAGGTAGTTTACCGACCGTTTTTCCCTATAAATAGCACGTGTTGGCTGTGTGTTTGACCTTAGCATGGTTTCCAAGTGCAATGATTTCTTGGGAAATGGCATAGGATCTGAGCTGAGCTGGTTTTATGGTCTGGCCTAACTGCTCTGACCTTGTTTTCTTTTATAGCTGTTGACGTAGGCAATTAACAAGATGGCCCGGCCTGTACTTGGCTGGATGTTCAAGGGGGAAAGGCTTGTAGTAGAAATTGCTGCCCCAATAACTTCCATTTATATTGAGAAACTCGATCATTCCGGTACTCATTAGAGTTTGAAATTAGCATCGGAACCAATTGCTCGGATCGAGTTAAGAAAGCGATTAATTATGGCCATTGGGCAGGGACAATATGCGTGACAGCCATGAAACACGAGCAAGACCGAGCCGAGGGGAGTGGTAAACACTCAGAGATGGGCGCGAGCGACAGGCAGCAGAAACTGGAACTGGAACTGGACAAGGGATATGGGATCTGGGATATGGGATCGGGGATCTGGGATGGGACCACACGCGTCGTGTGTGACGGCGATAAAAATCACAGCATGTTGCAAACAGCCCATTGACGTTACTCTCCTCCCCGTCCTCCTCTGTCCACCTCTCTGTTGTTTTTGTTGTTGGGCAAATCTTTTGACAGTTGTGTTGAAGCATAAAGATGCCAAAAGAAACAACGGCAACAGCATAAAGCCGCCAAGTGCGTATCTGAAGCGTCTTGCCACTCGCAGCCACGAAAAGCGCATCAATCAAACGCACCGCCAACGCCGCTGCCCCATGCCCCAGCCACCAACTGATCCCCACGCATACACACGCATACACACACACACATTCGATCAATCATTTATTATGGCATCGCTGATGGCGGCCCCAACGTTGGTGGCCCCACACCAAAAATACAAAACTCACAGCACACAACAAAAAGAAAGAAAGAAAATACTTGGAAAATATAGCTAATTTTCTATGGGCCATATAAATTTGTTTTTAGTTTCTATTTTTTCGGTTGTGTAAGGGGCAGGGACGGGGGGCGGACAGCCAATTTTGTGCACGAAAAGCAATTGTATCGTATGGCTGTCAGATCCACTTATAGAGACGGCTACAGGGTATTATGAGATGTATGGGAAGTGGTGGAAGGCGCTTGGTTAAGGGTACTTGGAAGACCTGTATGTTTTCCGATTGGTTTGTGGCAGAGTTCCCTTAGAAGTTTGGTTAATAAATGGCATTAAAATTGGTTCATAGGAGCATGAAATGATTCTCAGTTGGATTTAAAACTACATATATACAAATAGTATGTCTATCATCCACTAAAGTTGGGTGAGTATTGGTACTTTGGAACAGTGATTACCCATTAAATTCGTCTTTTGCAAGACTCTTCATTCACAATATATGATACCTTATCAATATTAAATTAATTGAAAGATCCTAAGATCATTGCCAGCACTCAACCCAAGCAAGGCATTCGTATTGCCCAATATGCCTTACAGCAAAAGTATACGTAGAAGCAATCTATTTGATTGACATTTTGTGCCTTGCCGCCGAATAAACATTTCAATTCTAATTAAATTTCGTTGAAATTAATTGCGACACATACCCGATGCCCGATACAGAAACGAAACGAAACGAGACCCAAAGCCGAATAAAAACAGAACAAATCACGCAACTGGCGACCGCCCAAGTGGACGCCGCGGCGTCGATGTCGGCTTCGTTGGTGGTCCAGATGATGGTCGGGCCCCTCCCCTCCCCTCCGCTCCGCTCCGCCGAGTACCAGGGGTATATCCCCAATCAGAGGGCAACGAAAATTTAGTTGTTTAGCTGTGGCTTTCGTTGTTGCTGTAGCGCTTTATCGGCTGCATAAATATGGAAATTTTTCATTAGCGATTTCCGTTTCCGATTTATCTTAATGGCCGTCAAGCTTTGGGGCTGGAGATTCTAGTTACTTGTTGCTTCTGGATGTTGGTGTTGTTGTAATTAAGAGGAGCTACCGTTTGATGTTTGCTTGAAAACGCAATGCTGCCGTTGAGACGACGACAGCCCCGATCGGAGGCGAAGACGAATACGAAGTTCGTCTTCGTGTGTGGTCTTCGATCAGGCTTTTGGCCAATGAAAGCGGCTATTAAGTCGCGGCCGAGCCAGCCAACCGAGGCACAGTTGGCAACTTGGGTGGCAACATGCCATTCACCAATCACACATATACCAGTTCTCGTAGCAGCAGCAGCAGCCGCAGCGGTTGTGGCAGGCAGCCGCGAGGGGAGTCTGTCTGTGAGCTGGCGGCGCCGCACAAAAAAGAAAGCGCGTGCATCGGCCAGAGGACCAGAGGCCACCGCCAATAGGGGCAAAAGCAACGAAAAAAAACCCAACCGACCGGAACTGCAACTGGCGCTATATGCAATTATAAGACGGTGTGTGTGTGCCAGTGTGCATCTGCAGCAAACAGTAGCAGCCACATTTGCCTTTGCCAAAGATTGACAGCAGCAACTAAGCCCCGAGATGGAGGAGATGTCGAGACCACCGTGCAAGATGCCGCCACCGAGTGCCGCAGTTGTCCGGGCTGGCGGGGGTTGGGGATAGCTCTTTGAGTGGCCTCTGCGTGGCATTGTTGTTGCTTGTCGCCACGCCGTTGCGTTATATTGTCAAAAGTACGACTAGCATGTGTGGCTGTGGCAGGACAGGGGCTGCTGCTCCTCTTTGCTCCGCTTGTAACTTTGATTTTTTATTACTATTACTTTCATAGAAGGCAACTTTAGTAGTTGCATAGCAGCCAGCTTCAAAAGTTGAATAGAAGCCGATTTTGCAGCATCTAGCTTATAGGAACTAGAATAAGATCTGTGTAGCGGGTATCTTATAGTCGGAATGGGGACTATACATAGCTCTCTGTCTGATCTTCTTGCCATCCCAAGAAGTTGCTCTTGTTGCTGTTCTGCTGCTTCTGTTGTGATGCAAATTATTGCTATCTATCTTGCTGTCAACATCGGAATAATTGTTGGTAACATTCGATGTTGCTGCCGTTGCTTGTCATAATTTGATTGCCGCCGCGGGGCAATCTTTCTAAATTGTGCTACAGTGCAACGTGCCTATTGGGAATCTCACAAGGGCTCAAGGATTAGTCCATTAAAACTAACTTAATTTTTGTTTTCTGCGGAACCATAAAAGTTTACGAAAAGCTTACGAACTTTTTGCACACTACAATAGTTCCTAGAAACCCAAGAAGAACAACATTAAGAAGGAAGCGAAAACGAAAAAGTTTCGCTCGAATTAAAGCTAAAAAACAAATAATACCACCATATCATGGGAGAAGGGACCGACCCGGCCGGACCCGAGCGTACTGTATCGGATCGGACCACACACAATGTTCGCAGAGGCCCAGGAGCACACACACACACACACACTTAAAAGGCGAATAAAAACGAGGCAGCGAGAGGGAGAAAAACAAATAATTGCTAATTTTATGCTCGAATAAATGAGCTGAGCGTGAGTGTGCCCCAAGAGTAAAGAAGGATCAAAATGGGGCGCCCCGCCACCATTCCACCATTCTGGCGGCATAAATTAGTGCGAGTGAAATAGCAACACTAAAACGTCACGCACTATCAAACGAGAGAATGATCAATGGGGGCACAACCGACCAACCAACGAGCATACACAGAGCGGGCTAATAGACCACCCATGACGATGACGACGACGACGACGACGACGACGAATCAAATGCCACCCACGACGCAGAGCGGAGAGCAAGAGCCAAGGCGCTGCGTGCCTGTGAGTGTGTGTGTAGGGTGTTTGGGTTAAAAGACAGAAGACCTTTGAAAACAATTTCAGCATTGGCTGTGGAGGGGAGAGACCCGCAGCAGATAATTGAAATATGTACAACTTGAACATGTGTGGTGTGCCCTGAAGTGGGTACACTAAATAATAATAAAACAGATGTTTGTGGGCAGGGGGTCATAATAAATAAATAAATACATGGAAGAAAGCCAGACGAAAAACCTATTATATCCATAAAATAGTTGTCTTGTCTAAAATAATTTAAAAATTACAAACGAAGAATTCAAAATCCATGTCAAATATTTCAATTCTGGCGCCAAACTAACATACCTCCCTTACCAAACCTTTTTACACAGAAGTTGTAGATGGAGAGCTGCCAACTCAATTGACGGACTTTCAAAAAATGTCTGTTTGGCGCGCAACAGTCGATAGTATCGGTTGCCGTTTGGTGGGGACTTTCTCTCCTTTTCCCTCTCTTCGTCGATCGATTTTCTTCGCTCAATGTCCATACATTCCGTTGCTGGCAACATTAAATTTGTATTGACATGTGCCGAGAAAACGAGTTGTCCATCAATATGACGTGAATTTAGCAACAAATTTATGCTTACAATTCCTTTCAAACTTCACTTTCAAAAAATTACACTTTGGCGCAACTCTTGTAAACTACGTAACGTAACTACATAAATATGTAGTTAATATGTAAAGAAATACATTTAATGGGCTTTTTTTTACCGTTTATGTTTAAACCTTATAATTATATTATTATTATTATTATATAAGCAATGCAATAAAAGCAAGTGTTTAAAATAAACCAGTCAATTATAAAATAGATTCACTAATCGGATAAAACTATGTGGGCATGGCGAAATTTTCTATATAGCTAGTAATATTCAACGGAATATCAAAAACGAGGAATATGTAAAATATAACTTAAATTCGTCTGTATATTTACGGTATATTTTGAAATATGTGACGTAGTTGACTGACAAACAGGTTGGCAGGGCTGCCTCTCAGTGTAGTTGTAAAAAATTTTTTTTTCTTGTTTCTAATTTGAACTGCCAACTCAATTGACTGACAAACAGGTTGGCAGGGCTGCCTCTCAGTGTAGTTGTAAAAAATATTTTTTTCTTGTTTCTAATTTGAACTGCCAACTCAATTGACTGACAAACAGGTTGGCAGGGCTGCCTCTCAGCGTGGTTGTGCAAAATTTATTTTGTTGGATTTTATTTCTAATTTTTCGATAGTTTAACTAACAAAACCGGCCTCTAAGATGCCGCCGAAGAAAGCGCCGGCGGGTCCCAGCAAAAAAACGGAACAAAAGAAGAAGGAAAAAGTCATTGAGGTATGCTAGAGTTCGGAGATGACTGCTGCTAGACTTTCATTGGCCGAATAATTGATGTTCAAAGATGTAGAACCACGATGTGGCATAATAGCTCTACGGAGATATTTATTTCTGAATGTTTATCGGTAGGACAAAACGTTTGGCTTGAAGAACAAGAAGGGTAACAAGCAGCAGAAGTTCATCCAGCAAGTCCAGAAGCAGGTTCAGGCCGGCGGCCATCATCCACGTCAGGATGGCGACAAAAAGAAAGATGAAAAGGAAAAGAAATTGGCGGATTTGCGTGAGATGGCATCGATCTTCAAGCCCGTGCAGACGCAAAAGGTGGATAAGGGCACTGATCCCAAGTCTGTGGTGTGTGCGTTCTTCAAGCAGGGACTCTGCACCAAGGGAGATAAGTGCAAATTCTCCCACGACCTGTCCCTGGAGAACAAGGTGGAGAAGCGCTCCATGTATGTTGATATGCGTGACAACGAAGATGACCTCATGACCAACTGGGACGATGCAAAGTTGAAGGAGGTTGTGGATAAGAAGCATTCTGAGGAGAAGCGCCGACCCACAACTGAAATCGTAAGTCAAGTTCCTGCCGCTCATTATCAGAAACTAATTACTAAATTCTGGACAGATTTGCAAGTTCTTCCTGGAAGCTGTGGAAAAGTCGAAGTACGGTTGGTTCTGGGAATGTCCCAACGGAGAGAAGTGCATCTATCGTCACGCCCTGCCGCCCGGTTATGTTTTGAAGCGAGACAAGAAGAAGGAGGATAAGCCCACGGAAATTTCGCTAGTCGATCTGATTGAGAAGGAACGCGCTGCTTTGGGCTCCAACCAAACCCGTGTCACCCTTGAAACCTTCTTGGCCTGGAAGAAACGCAAGCTGCAGGAGAAGAAAGCCAAGATGGTCGCTGAGGAGGAGCGCAAGAAGAGCGACTTCAGCAAGGGCAAACAGTTTGGTATCTCTGGTCGTGAAATGTTCAGCTTTAATCCAGACCTGGTCGACGACGGACCCATCGAGGAGGGCGATGCCGCCTTTGATGTCTACAAACGTGAGGACGACGATGATGACAATGCCTTTGAGTTCAAGGAACTCGATCTGGCTGCCCTTTCGCTGGCTGCCAAGGAGGTTGATGGTTCTGGCACCATAGCATCTAGCACCAGGCTACTAGATCAAGCAACGGAAGCAGCCAAAACCGCAGCAGCCGAGGATGGAGCGGCTTCTGATGATGAGAACCCATCATCGTCTGCCCCCGCCAACGATGCTGCACCCTTCAACAAAGATCTCTTTGTTGACTTGGCCGGCGAACTGGATGACTTGGATCTGGATGATGAAGATGACTAGCTTCCTCAATTATTTCTTTTTAATTTTGATTTGTCAAATCACAGTGCGTTCATATAGAGATTTCTGCCTTTAGCTACTTTTGATCAATAAAACTGTAGCTTTCAAATGTTGCATTTCTGAAAAATCTATTAACTGTTTGATCTGGATAAGGATCTAAGGCCCTCTGAAGCCATTGCCATGATAGAATGTTGCCTGAACTATAAATTTCACAAAAGAAACGCTTAATTTTATTACTCGAACGGAAACAATATTTGTACATAAAGTTAGAAATATGCATCAATTGTAAAACTACCAAAAGCCAGGAGGCAAAATACCCACAGTCTGAGGGATCTGGCGCTCGCGGAGGAACTTGGCCAAAAGCATTTCCAGGCGCGTCTTCGGTCCGCCCTCGTCGTAGATGGCCAGTTGTGGCATGTAGGATATGTGAATGTAGAGCAAGAGCTTGAGGAACTGTTTGCCATAGGTGCGCCACAACTCAAAGCCCAGTGTCTGAAGTATCTCCATGATCAGGGTGGCGCTTATGTCGGGCAACGGTTTCACATGAACTACATGAGCCAGCCAACGCCAGCCTTCCTCCAGACCGAAACATTGGGCAGGTCCGTCTGCTTTTCGTCCAGGCGTAATAATAACAGCAGCAAACAGACGGGCGATTCCAGTTTGCCGCTTGAGAAACATGTCGGGCTTCTCCAGCTCGTTTTTGTCGGACAGCCGATAGCCAATCGATTTGAGATATTGCTCTGCCGTCTGTCCCGGTTGCTGCGGTATCACATAGGGCACCAAATATGGCGATTCTTTGTAGAGATACGCCAGGAACACCTTTCCGAAATCAGGCAGCAACTTCCAGAAGGTCACAATAACCGACGCAAAGGGAAAAGCGGCTTGGGGATTACCAGATATAGCCGTCTCTGATTGACTAACGAACTTCTTTGCCATTAAGAGCATGCAGTAGTCACGAGCCAATGGATGGTCATTAATAGTAATGGTGGCGTCATTCATTACTCTCACGCTGTGGCCGGCAAAGAAGTTGTATAGTTTTTCAAAATTGTTGCTTAGATGCTGCGGACTGACCGCTGTAATGGCGTTCAGAGGCAAGTTTATTGCCCTTTGGCAGCCAGTGCGATACTGCTTCAACGACTCCTCAGACTGCAAGGGCTTCACTGCATCTACTTTGGTTTGGTAGAGTGAAATGATTTCATTGTAGAATGCTAGTCGCGATGGGTGGACATAGGAGGTAGATATGGTGCCTTTCGCCGGCGAAACATCAACGGAGTTTTCCTCAGGAGGTGGCGTCGCCTTGGCAGCTTCTTCCGCCAGTTTCTGCCGTTGCTGAGCTTCTGACTCGTCCTTTTCCTTCTGTCTCTGCGTCTGTTCTTCAAACTGCTTCTTCTCTTCTTCCAATTGCCTCTGTTTTTCTTCCTCCAGACGTTGTGCAGCTTCCATTTTAATTTGCTGCTGGATTAGCTCTGAGAATTCCGCCAGTTCTTTGATCATATCAGCCTCCAGGTCGTCTAAGTTTTTGCAATATTGCTCGGCCTTTATGATCGAGCTTAAATATTGACTTTGCTCGAAGTTGCCCATTTTTACAGTACAAACCAGGTCATCAAACTTTTCACCCAGCTCCCTGAGTTGCTGATTTTGGGCGGCACAGACCTGGACCGTCTCCTTATCCAATGACAGCAACAGCTTTATGATCCCCTCATACTTGTTGCCGAATCTTCTTTGGCATCGCGACACTCCCTCCAAGGCAAGTTTATGCAGCTTTTGGTCAGTTTTCTTGCGCAGGTCCAATTGTTGACGCTGCTGTGCCTCGAGCTGCCCTTGAGCCAGCTGTTCCGCCTTCTGATTGATGAGATTATCGGTCTGCTCTCGTAATGCTTTTTGGGCTAGACGCTCTTTTTGCTGATCCTCTTCCCTCTGACGGGTATCGCACTGTATCTGCAGTCCTTTATGTGCCTCCTTTAATGCTTGAATCTGCTTACGCACACTCCTCTTGCACTGCTCCGCCATTTCCCGCCTAAATATACTAGCGTTTATTTCGCCTGCATCTGGGAAGCAGGACAAACTCGGTTCCTTGTCTCTGATGCTAGGAGAAACAATCGTTTTCTCTACAACAGTTTCCTCGGCATTTACAATGCCTTCGTCCAGACTTTCCTTCTGCCCTTCCACCCAAAATGGTTCCCGATCGGGGCCCAATGTGCGTCCTTTGCATGTGAGCGAAGCAATAGCTGCATGCTTAAATACAGTTTCTAGGTGCAAACTATCCATTTCCCGTATAACATTTTCCACGCTCTGTAAGGAAAATAGCCTGTATAATTCAGAAATTCGGATATTCCATTCCTTACCATTTTGTTTGTTTGTCTGCAGACCAGTGTGACCGCGGACTATCGATAAGATATACGGTCCAATTAAAATTCTATTATACATATTCCTCGTTTTCTTTCTTCCGTGGAATATTACTATATATATAGCACATTTAGCCATGCCCACATAATTTTACACGATTAATGAATCAATTTTCTACAAGATTGGATAGTTTTTAATCCTTGCTTTTTTTGGATTTTACGTAAAAAAAGGTTTAAATGAAAAAGTTCAACATAAAAAGAGTCGCAATGTTGCTGGTATTGGATGACACGATGCGTGTATAGGTCTTTGTATACCCTATTTCGTTAATTTTATATGAAGATATAACGTAATTTACAAAGACCTTTTATCAAATTGATATTCTTTAGACATATTCAAGTACATTATAAGTATCTTGTATATATTTATGTCGATCCTGATACCTACTGAGCCTTGGAAGACAAACGTATTCACAATTTTATAATATCCATTTCCCCCAGGGTATGTGTGCATGGAATGCGCAACATGTTTGTATATGGAATGAGACTCATTGCTGCTAAAGCGAACTGGGGCGAACTGCGGCGAATTCAAATTCCTCATATTCTTTGTTCCGTTGAATAATACTATCTATATGGAACATTTAGCCATGCCCACTCAATTTTGTAGGATTGATGAATCAATTCTATACATGATTGGCCTATTCGAAATACTTGCATTTATTGGATTTTTATATAACATTGAAAATTAAATTAATAAATGACAAAAATACAATTTAGCACTAAAAAACACCACATGGGAGGGCGGCGAAAACCAGTTTCTACAGTATGACCCGAAATATACGGTCTCATTTTCAAACTATACCGAGTGGTGCGCGCCAAATCGAAATTTTTTGAATGTGAGCAAGTGACAAGGATTTAAATGTTGTCAACCGGGCCTTTATTTATGCCCACATAATTTTATACGATTACTGATTCAATTTAGTCTAAAAAAAGGTTTTATCAAAAATAGGGAAAGAAAAAAAACGAAAGAGGATAGTTGTTCCTATTGTTCAATTATTCATATTTCGTTGAATAATGCTAGCTAACTAAAACCTTTGGCCCTGCCCACATAGTTGTATCCTATTGATGAATAAATTGGCTAAAATATTTATTACTTTTATGTACTCCCGTTGTTGCAGTAGCAAAAATCGCGTCGTTCCCGTTTTAACCGGTTCGTAATGTGGCGTTTCTGGATATATAGTAAGTGGTGTATATCAAATTTCAACAACATTGTTCCGTCAACGGTTTCTTGTGTTCCAAGTCTTATTATTCTCGAATCACGGTCCTTCGTTGCGGGAATCCTAGGCGGCATCTAACTGTGGAATTTACACTTCGACTTCTTTTGGAGGCCATTGTTTCCGCTGTGATCCTCGCTCTCAAGAGGGGTTCAGATATCTGGGAAATCTATTTACTTACCTACTCAAACATTTAACGAAAGAGGATTAACACATCCCAAGGCATTTATTTAACAATTGTGTTTATATCAATTACAAACGAATCTCTACAATAAAGTCAATCACTTCTCAAGGAAACTTTCGCCGACTAGTGATTTCAGCTTGGCTAGATGCGTTTCGTTCAACGTAAAACCATCGTGGATGAGCTTGGCGAGGACACTCGACTCCATATTGTTTTCGACAGCATACTGGAGGGCAGCCAAGGCCTGGCTGGGCGCTTTCTCCTTGACCGAGGCCTCTACATACTCTTGTAAAGCGCTCTCGGCGGGTGTGCCGGGAATGCGATGCTGATTTTTGTCAATGTGGGAGAACACTTCGCTGGCCTTCTCGTAGTTGTCGCCCCGGACGAGCAGTGTTAGAATGTCGCCAAGCATTTGTCCAGTGAACGAGACCTTTTTGATCCGTCTCACGGACTCCTCGATCTTGTTGTACATGTCCAGAGCCACCTTGGCACATTGCTCCGGGAGCTGGGATTGGGCGGGCGTGTCCGCATTTGGTCGATTGTCCACCATAATTCGCAGGACATATAGCAAAAGGCTTTCGCGGTGCGTGTGGTCGAACACAACCATGTCGGACCAGATGCGAGGCACGTGTTCGACTGCGGCGTTGATCTCAATGGTCCGTAGTACTTCCTCCATGATGCCGGGCTCGGGTATGTAGATGTTGGGCACCAGCAGGTCGTAGGTTAGCATAAAGTCCTCTATCGATTCAGTCTGGCAGAGCAGGGCCAGATAATTGCGGTAATAGATAGACTCTTTAAAGGAATCGCCTATCAAATCGTAGTTGTTGCCGGTGTGCAGCAGCTCGTTCACTTTCTTGGCCAGCGACTTGTCATTTAAATGATTGCGGCACACATCCATGGCAGTGGCAAAGAAGTACGTGTCCTTGGGATGCTCAACCCTGAACTCCCTGCCTGCAATCTCATTCAGTATGTCCACTATAACATGGGACACTGGACCGCGCTCGCGGCAGAAGATGATCAGCAGATAATAGTAGGTGCCTAGGCTCGGGTTAACACCAAGTTGCTTGAACTCTGGAAGAACTTTGAGGGCCGACGTACGGGCAAGTTTGAAGTTGCCAAAAGTGCTAATGCACTGGAGAATGGCATTCAAAGTGCCTAAATTGGGGCGCAATTTCTGCTCCGACATTTGCTGCAGCAGCTCGGTGCACAGTTGCCATCTCTGTTCGGCATTGTCCTTTAAAAAGCTGATGATTTGGATAATCGAATTAAAAGTGTTTGTGTCCAATTGAATTTGCTTTTCGCCAGCCTCCTGAAGCAGGGCGTATGCCCGCTCACACTGCAAATACTTGGCCATGCCACGAATAAGGGAAGCGTAAGTCTTGGGCGTCTTTGGTTCAATTTCGGAATACAGCTTCTCAGCCAGGTCGCCGTCCTTCCACGTCTTTCCGTGTCGCTCACGTCGTCGGTTGTTTTCGAGAAACCACCGTTCCTCAATGTACTCTTCTGGTAGTGGGTCCTGATTATTGTGGAAGCACACAAGTTCTAAAAGTCTTTGCTTTAACTCAGAACTGAGGGCGATTCCCTTCTGTTCCATCAGATTGTACACAAGCACGGCGTCCTTAAGCTCTCCCTGCTCAATCAGTTGCCCGAGAGAACTCTCGTCCACCTCGGACTCTTCAGTGTAAACCATGCTGGGGGCGAATTTTTCAATGGCCGGTTGAGCTTCTTGGTGCTGCATTATATTAAATAGTTAACTAGAGTTAACTAGCAATCTTGTAACTGCCTACCTACCAAAAATAGTTCATGGTGCTCTTCTTTTATCCATTTGGCAGCCTTACGCCCAGCCTCCTTCGACATGGCGTACGTGCGCTTTGCCATGTTTGACATGGGTATCAGGAACGGATCATCGTGGTACTTGTAATGGGGCGCCGTGTGGTCGCGTCCGACGGTGCTGGCCAATGCTTTTAGTATGTCCGTGGGCGAGCGTTCTATGCGATTGGGTACCTCAATGTGCTCCGCAGCCGGTGCAGCGCCTGTGGTGGTTGTGTAATGTGTGCTGCTGGTAGCTATGCTCCGTCCAATGCTGGCCTTTGGCAGCAATCTGAGCTGACGCGTGAGGTACATGGTAGTGCAGGTGCGGGCCTAAATCTCGCCTGTTTTCACTAATGTTTTTAAAATTAAAAATATTCTGCGATTTCGTGCGGAAAATACACCTTCTTCTTCTTGAATATATCGATATATATAATTCCACTACACTTCATCACCTAACGGGAAAATCATACATGCAGTGAGAGTAGTGGAATGTGACTATAATATTTGGGTGATATTTTTTTTGTATTACTATTGCTTATATTATTTCTTTTCTGTTCTCTCATTGACGAAATATTATAACTACCCACGGTTTTCTCATTGACTTCAAAAAATATCGATACTTTTGTGCGATAACCGGTCGTTGCTTTCGCAAGAAATTACCGACTTGATTTTGAAACGCAAAAATCGGTGCTCCGACCTTCGCAGAATGTAAGTTACTTTCGCGGCAAGAACCGCGCCTCTGCATTTAAAGTCAGTTAGTAAATACATATGTATGTGAGCTTATGATTTATCTATACGTTATGATACGTACTTGGATGATTACCAATTCTGGAGCCGATGACTGCCTTTTTTGTTCGCAAAAAAGATTTCTTGGTTCATGCGAGAGTGGGACTTGATCTCTCAATTTGGGTCGCACTTGTCATTGTATATTTTTCCATTTTTCCGTTTTGTATTCCGCTACATTTCTTTCTCGCTCTCTCTTCTCACACCAATGCCAGCCATTACATCTCTCTATTAAGGGTACACCCTCGTGTGAACGGGCTAAGTAAGTGCGTGGACGGTTTAGGAGAAACCACTGCAAATCTGGCTATAATGATGATTCAGATTAAGCAAATTTTTATTTATGTTTATTCTAAATTATTCTTCGTTCTCTCGAACATTCAAAATTGTGAATACCACAGATTTTCGCCTTTAGCGGGTGGGGCACAATTTTTGAAATACACTTGTAACAATTTGGTTGCTGGGTGGCTAGGTTTCAAAGCAGACGGACAGACAGATTCGGCTTTTGATGATGATCAAGAATATATACATATATGCTCTATTTGGTCGGAAACGCATTGTTCTGGGTGTTACAAACATCTACACTCACCGCAAATCTATTATATCCCTAAACTCTTCAAATACCGGTTATATCAAATACTAAGTCCTCTAGGATACAGTATACTAGGTACATATGTACCCTCCCATATGGGATCAGAAAGAGTCGCAGATATTATTTGAAATATATTTTATTGGTAGGCAGTTTTGAAGAACATTTTTAATGACATTTATATATAATGAACATGTTTCAAATAATCATTTTCATCTCGCAATCATTTTCCGTTACGTTTTTCCATTGTAATATTCTTCTATGTATGTATGTATGTATATAATAAATTTATTTAGTTTATTATTAT